AAACTGCAATAGAAGAAATTATAGGAGAAAATACTTTTTAAAATGCATTATGTTGAAATGAAGGAAGATAAAGCGTTCAGAATCGTCATACGAAACCTACATTCATCTACCTCTCCAATCGAAATCAAAACTGCAATAGAAGAAATAGGATTCTCCGTACGCTCAGTAACAAATGTCCTTAGCAAAATCGAAAAAATTAAGTTACCCCTCTTCTTCGTGGACCTCGAACCAGACAAAATAAACAATAACATCTTCGAGATTAACATCTTACTTAATACAAAAATAAAAATCGAGTAACCTTACAAACGACGTTTTATCATTCAATGCCAAAATTGCCAGGAATATGGACATTCAAAAACATATTGCTCATACCCACCCCGATGTGTACGTTGTGCTGCTCAACACCTCACATCATCTTGCACAAAGTTTCGAGATACACCTGCTAAATGTGTATTGTGTAATGGAGAACATCTCGCCAATTATAAGGAATGCCAAATACACAAAAATCTACAAAAACTCCGCAATCCAAACTCAAGAAACCAACAACCTACAATCAACACGCAATCCAACCATATCCAAGCAACAGCACTTCCGACTGAAACCCATCCTCCTCTCCCACAACAAAGGTCATATGCAAATGTTACCTCTAATCAAGAACCACCTAATTCTCAAACAAACCAACTGGACACAGGTACTATGCTAACCAATTTTATTAACGATTTTAAAGCCCTCATTAATCCTCTTCTCTCTCTCCTGACTACAGTTCTAAACAAACTAATTCAACAAAATGACAAATAACTCACCCACCTCTAAATCGCTACTAATACTTCTATGGAACGCTAATGGCCTTCATAACCATCTCAATGACTTACAACTAACACTACATGAAAAACGCATAGATATTGCTCTTATATCCGAAACCCACTCAACAACTAGCAATAAAACTTGCATTCCAGGCTACACCTTTCTCCACAAAAATCACCCCGACGACACTGCTCATGGTGGTGCAGCTATATTTATCAAATCCTCAATTCTTTTTCATCCTTTTCCTCCATACAATGAGCCACACATTCAAGCAAATTCCATCCWAATCACACTTGATCACACACCCATTACAATCATTTCAACATACTGCCCTCCTAAACATACTATCTCCCCACTGCAATTTGAACTATTCTTCAATACACTAGGCAACAATTTTATCGTAGGTGATGATCTAAAAGTGAAACAAATACAATGGGGATGCCACTCCAACTCACCCCGTGGTAACACTCTCCAGTGGATAACTAATAATAAAAATTACACCATTCTGTCCTCTCCAAGCCCCACCTACTGGCTAACCTCGCCAAGGAAACGTCCCGATATTCTGGACATTTTTGTCAAAAAATTCCAAACAGGCTAAATTGTACAACTGAAAATCTCCAAAACCCAATGTCAGACTACTCTCCAGTGCTTCTAATAATTAACACCGAACCCCCAATCAAACTAACTAGACCTTCATTAATCAATGGCGTAATAAATTGGGACACATTCCAATCAAGTCTAGCCAATCAAATCGATTTAAAAACTCGCCTAAAAACAAATAATGACATCGACGAGGCTGTTTACAATCTCAAAACTTCAATTCAATCAGCTGCCTGGAGCTCTTGCACACCAAACCCTACCCCCAACCAAAACTTTCATAATATGCCCACACACATAAGAAACCTAATTGTACAAAAAAGAAGGGCAAGAACAACTTGGCAAAGAACCAGATACCCCTCCGATAAAAAAATATACATCAACCTATGCACAACACTAAAACGAGAAGTAGGTAAACAGCGCTCAGACGACTTTAACAAATATACAGCCCTACTTTCGGAAAAAGACGGCTCACTCTGGAGAGCCACATGTATAATACTGAAACATAAAACAACCATTTCTCCATTACAAAAACAAGATGGAACCTGGGCGATAAATGACATTGAAAAAGCAGAAACTTTTAGAAATCATCTTGCAGCCTTGTTTCAACCAAACCATTATACTACCCCCCCTCCCCCTCACCTACAAGTGAAATCAATACTTTTTTAGACAGTCCTCTGCCTCTAACCTTGCCTCCTATATGCTTCTCCCCATCAGTTATCAAAACTTTCATAAAAAACTTTCCATTAGGTAAATCACCAGGATTCGACTTAATAACGGCAGAAGTGGCTCGTAAACTTCCAAATAAAGCCATTACTCAGCTAACACATATTTTTAATGCAATCCTAAGACTAACACATATTCCAATACAATGGAAATTTCAATTATAATAATGTTCCCTAAACCCAACAAACCAACAGACAACCCAGCTTCTTATCGCCCAATAAGTCTACTTCCATTTTTCTCTAAACTATTTGAAAAATTAATCTTAAAACGTATTTACCCAATTATCACTGAGAAGAAAATTATTTCCAACTCTCAATTTGGATTTCGAGAAAAATATTCGACAATTCACCAAATTCATAGATTAGCGGATGCCATTGCATGCTCACTGGAAAAAATAAACAAAAACGCAATGTAAAAACTGTGAAAATTATATTTGTAAGGAACATACCGTAACGTATTGCCAGAAATGTTGCGAAGACGCACAACATTCATCAGATAATTCAGAATATTAATAAAATTATTATATTTTTCATTTATTTATATTATTATTTATTTCATTTAAAAATACATAGTAAATAGTATACAAATTTAAATAAAATTTGTACATTACTTTTTTAAAATTAGGTACCCAATTTCTGTATAAGGAAGTAGGTAACTTTCAGTTTCGATTTTTTTTTTTTTATAAATAAAACTATGAGTTATTAAAGTTATATGAAAATGGATTTGTTTCAATAAAATTACAAAACATACCTATGAAGCAACGTTTTTTTTATAATTATTTACTTGAAAATTATAACGCGGTCGAAAAGACCGCGGTGCGACTAACTACGTAATATACACTAGTGCGACTAACGCCGGGTTAATTCAAAATAAAAACAAAAAAAAAAATATTGTACGTGTAGCACAAGAGTCTCTTAATAATAAACAAAAAAAAAAAAATTAAAAAAGTATTAATTAGAACAAAAGTTATTCTAAAAGTCAGATCTATCTGTTACACCCTGTATATATATATCCTTTTGATTTTATAATAATTATTAGTAAAAATTGAAACTTAATAATGTTCCAAAGTGGGCGACATATTCAGTGCATTATAGATATTATTATTATTATTATTATTACGGTTATCGTGTAATTGGTGTGGACACCGGTCTAAGTGTAATCGCGAAATTTATTATAAGTTTTAAGTCACCATAGGTAGTACCATATAACCGAGGATACCGTTTGGCTTTTCGAGTTTACTAATAGTCATGTAATAAGAGGTGATATTTACATTAACTAAATAAATCTTTTCCTAAGGAAATCAAAAACAAAGAGAATAAATGTTTCATGAGTACCAATATAATATAACATGAACAAAACAATAGCATTGGTATAAAATTAACATAAAGCAACGTATGACGCTTTTTTTTATAACGACATGAACTACTTAAAATTCKACTGGAAACACAATTTTAAAGAGTGAGGTGAAAGGAAATTTTCTCTCTAGTAATTATATATACCTACTAGTTATTAAACATCGTGGGTAGGCTAAATATATTTTTTTATTTTAAGTTTTATCTGCTAATGTCTAGAGAAACGTGACAAACAGCTGGGAAAAATAAAATATATATATATTTAAAGTCATTAAGCTGGCCAAACTGGTTAACAGATACAGACATCGAACGATATACATACAAAATATATTATAATATACAATATACATATATCACAGTAATGGACTTGAAACTATGATGAAGATTTCTATAGTGCTGGTGAGGAATAGTGAATCTATAGACGGACTGCCGGAAGATTTGACAGGCAATATGTTAAAGTTGTACAAATATGCTCCGATGACTTAGATTGGATGTTGAAAGAAAGTTTCTTGGTATAAAAATCTTGTCAAATAATCATTAGAGATCTCAATTGAAAATCTTAAGAAAATATTGGTGGTTCAATGCAACAACTTAAAAAGTATTATAAAACATAAACGTATTTATTTTGTATTGAACTTCAAAAAAAATATATATATATATTCAAACTATATTTTTTCCAGTTTAATAAAATGTCAAATGCACAAACAGGTTACTCGGCCATATTTTAATATTCAATAATATATTTTTTTATAATTTTTTTTGACTGTATATTTTTAAGAATATTTAATTTTTAAGAACACTATTTGTTTTTTAGTAATACAATTTAAATAATTGTTTTATATTTTATTTTTTTTTTTTGCATTTTCACATTTTTCCATTCTTGTTTTACAATTTTTGTATGCATATTTTGCCTTTTTATAGCAGTTCCTTGAACCTCCAGACCCTAGCAATAACTAATAACTTTTTTTTTTCTAATAACTTTAAATAATATATTATACAAGTTGGATCCGTTTAATGATAGAGATAGGTTCAATATATTTAAAAAAATAAAGAAATATGTCAAAAATACATATTATAACATAATACTCCTCATTTTATAAGTATGAACAAAAGAACACTAGTAGTAGTAAGCAGCGATGAAGCATAATAAATGTAATATGTTATTTTAAGAGACAGGTTAATAGTAAGTGAAATGTGAGTAGCATACATTTTTAATTTTAATTTGTTTTATCCACTCTGGTTAGGTTAGGTTCTCTGGGGAATATAGATGTTATCTAATTGTAAGGAATGGTATTAGGAGACTAGCCTAACCCAGTCCGTATTTATTGTTGTAGCCTTTTTAAATATACGGCATTCGGGCACCTAGTGGTAGGATTACTGGAAGGGAAAGTCCCCCCCCAGGTGTGTATGGAACGCATATGCAAAAAAAAAAGTTCTCTGGAGAGAGTGATATAAATCGTCTATAAATGATTCTGTATTCTGTATATAATTTAATACTTAAATTAACATATAGTTACGTACATTACCATCTGCACATATCTGAAAACAATTTCGTTTAGATTCGTATCCTCTTGATTCCGTAATTGTGACACCATTCTCGTGTTTATTATTCAAACCTGTTGATGAAGTATCCAAAAATACGTTTGTAAGATTGTCCAAAATGCGAGCTATCATAAAAACCAGTAAAAAAAATAATATTGTATTATGATAGGAAACCAATCTGTAATCTTAACGATTAAGTGATCACTTCGTATATTACATGAATATTATGTCTATCTATCTAAATAATATTTCAAAATGGATTCGTATAAACCGTGAAATTTTTATTCGATATTTTCTAATTAACGACGGCGATATTACGTAGTATGTTATAACTAATTACTGTTATTTAATTTATTAAACATTTTTTTTTTTCAATATATAATATTATATTATATTATAAAAATCTTTTGTTCTTATGTTAAACTTAATTAAAAATACGATAATAGGCAGAKATTTAAAACATAGGTTAGGTTAGCTAAAACCTAACGAATTTTAAACGTAAGGTTTAATATSTAAATTACCAATCAGCTGATTGTTTGGTCTAATCTAAACGAGACAAGTCCCAAATTATGTTTGCTGCCTATTATTTATGATATATCATTAAATAAGATTACTTTTATAAAGTTATTTTTTAAGCAAAATTGTAAGATTGCACAAGTTAAAATATGTATATATTTATATTTTTTCTAATATTTTGATTATTTATGTTTATAATTCAAATGATTAATTAGGGCTGGTTTTTTAATCATCCATTTATTCTTTAAATCTACTTAATCATAAAATAAACTTCCAAATAAGACAAAAAATGTTTACTAATACAAATTGATCTGCCGAATAACTATTTAGAAGAAAAATTTTTTATTTTTAGAGTGAAGAAGTTTTCTGTTTATTTTGATACTAATAGAAGTTAGTAATAGTGTAGGTATTGTAAAACAAATAGCAATGATCAGCTTCGCTTGATGATCACTTTATCGGCGATAGGACAACATCAAGTAATAATGTGTGAAGATGACATAAAGTTATTAATTGTTATATCACAACTGTCAGCTTCAAATTTGTGCATATTACATGATTATAAAAGTGAATAAAATAGTTTTTTTCGATAGTCATAGCATAAAAGCAAATGAAACGACTAAGAGCCACACACTAAGCCACAAAATATTTTTCAGTGGAAAGGGAACTGTTATAAAAATTATTAGATTGGAAACTATTTTATCCTAGAAAATAAAAAGTAGGTACAATTATATGTTATTGAAAGTTAAAAAAAAAATGATGGTTTTAAATTTCTGAAAATACAATTCAATTACAGAAGATTGTGTAAAAAGTAGTATAGACTTTTTATATCTATTTTAATAGAATTTATTCTAATTTTAAAATAAATTATTTGTATTTAAAAATGACAGCTCAGACATGCTGCAAATTTAAGATTGATAGAATTTCAATAGTTTTCAGAGAATATACCTATAACAATAATTCAATTGCTGTTTTAAATTACTTAAAACTTTTAAGTATTTTATCTTATGTAAAGATATTTGGTTATTTATGTATCCAAAAACTTAAATAGCAACGTCTTTTCAGATTCTAAATTAAACTTTAATGTCTTTATCACCTCAGAATGTTAAATGAACAATACATACATGTGGTATGGACTGCCATCCCACTAAATAATAGACAGACATTTAAATTAGTAAACAGCTATTATCTGAGGAAACCACCAAAATTTAGATAGGTAAGAAATCCTAGGAATATGATAATGAAATAACATTGTGCATCAAAATAAAAGACAATAACTAATTAATCAAAAGGGTAAATGATTATTGAAATAGGATAAAATAATAAAATATACAGGGTGATTCTTTTATCATTGAACACTCATTATTTAAAAAAGTATCAATGTTTTTGAAAATATTTTTTTACAGAGTTTCATGTTGTTAAAAAACCAACATTTTTATTAAAAAATTATGTTTTTTAATATTTTCTATCCTTATAATTTTTTAAGTTTTTTAATTTTTTGAATGACAACATAGAGTTTTAATATCATATTCCAAAGCAGAATATTTTTCTAATTATTTTGATACGTAAAAATTGAATTTTGGACGAGTAGTTTATGGGTTATAAGTATTTAAAGTTTAGAGAAGTGGAGTAGTGGAAAAACATTTTGCGGGGTAACCCCGTACCACTCCACTCTGCCAATCTAAACTTTAAATACTTATAACTCATAAACTACTCGTCCAAAATTCGATTTTTACGTATCAAAATAATTAGAAAAATATTCTGCTTTGGAATATGATATTAAAACTCTATGTTGGCATTCAAAAAAGTAAAAAACTTAAAAAATGATAAGGATAAAAAATATTTAAAAATATAATTTTCAATAAAAACGTTGGTTTTTTAACAACTTGTAAAAAAATAACTATGTAAAAAATAACTATGTAAAAAAATATTTTGAAAAAAGTAAATACTTTTTTAAATAATGAGTGTTCAATGATAAAAGAATCACCCTGTATAAAATACATAAGCAAATGGTAACAATAGTCACACATGGCGGTGCGTATGAACAGGGTAATGGACGTGATAAGTATCATCTAATACTACTAATAAAAAGAGTGCCAAAAAATAATATAAATAATAATGGATATTTTGAAATAATAAACACGAGACTATCGAAAATGCTGTTATCCAGGACGCAGACTTACATCCGAGAAGGTCAGTGTTGGCATATTATAGAAGTACCAGTAATATTAGTACCCATATCGAGTAGGGGGTAGGTCTAAATAGGAGATCCCAAAAACGGTCTATAGTTAAACGTGATTTGATCAAGTACACCAGAGCACCTTAACGTTAGTCTGTTTTCTAAATTAATTTTTTGGACTTAGAATAATTCGAGCAGAATGATATTTTACTGAACCAAAAAGTCAAGTTCTTAATTGTGATTTATAAATTTGAATTGATGTTTTCGACATTTAAGTATTAAATAAAAAAATTCTATACCAAGAACAAACTTTGAGAGTTCACCAGGTAGTTACCTCATCCTATTCCTAGTCCACGTTACTTGTAGATGACGAGATAAATACACACCAATTGTGTACATACGTCTGTATTATATAATTTGAATACTCGATGATTTCTATATTACCATTTAAAAAATGTCCAAAAAATAAATAATAAATAAATCTATAGTCACAATTACATAATAAATGTAAATTCTTATAAGCAGAAAAATAGAAGAAGAGACGTAATGACTTACGAATCTATAATATTATATTGAAAAATATTACTACCAACAATATTATTATTAAGGGGACGTGATACCCGCATGTGTTGTTCCGTCTTACAAGTGCATTATACGGTAAATTTTTCGCTCAGCAAAATTTATGTAGCTCCGTTAGCTTAAAAATTAGAGTGAACTGATCTCTTATAAAATTTAAAGGTAAGATTATTATCTAGACAACCTTATATGCTTTTTATTAGTGATGATCAAAATTGGTGTTGGTCTTGTGGTCTCGCCAGATTCTTGCTGCAAGACCAAGACCAAGACGGCAAGACGGTACTGGTCTAGCAAGAAATTTTTTTTTTTTTCCCTAAAAAACATTAGTTAACTACTATCTAAATTTCATTAACTAATAATTTATAACGAAAATAATGAGAAATAATTTGTATTTTTATTAAATTTTATCAGTAATCGAGGTAATGACGAATTATTGAAAAAATGATTAGAAATAATTGGAATTAATATTGTAAAATAACAATAATATGGTTGTTACTTGTTTCATACTATTTAATTACAGAAAAATAATTTATTTTCTCCCCAAAATCAATGAAAACGTCGAAAGTTGTCTTGCTCATAGAATAATTTATGACTTATGTCCATAATACAACTCTACTTTGAATTAAATGTACTAATAATTGCTGAAAGTCATTAAGGACTATGGTAGATAGGTATCATTTTGATATTTTCGTTCGAAGTTTGTGTGATTTTTCCGTACTAGGCATGGAGTAAGTACTTAAACTAGTGTCTTATACAGCATATCATTTCATTACTGTCGTAAACTTGTAGTCTGTTGGTAATACACCTTTAGTTGTTGTGACTGACGTTACCGTACCTTTAAAAGTTTAAAATGAGTGACATTGAAGATATAACGGACCAAAGCGAGAGTGCTATGAATGAATTAGATAATAATCAAATGTTAAAAGTAAATTTAATGATTATTGACATACAAAGTGTGAATAATGAAATTGCTGGTTTTTGTAAATTGTGCGAAAAAAATAAGAAGTAGGAAATAAAAATATTAATGAAGAACAGGAACACTTCTGGGCTAAAAAACACCTATTGTCGATGCATAAAAAGAATCTGAAAAACTCTTTTCTAAAAAGCCATCGAAATCGGTTACAAATTTCTTCGGAGCTTCTACTTCTGGGCAGGTATGTACTTAACTAAATTAATTACACCTAATAAGTAAGTTATAATTAGGGCTCGGATATTTATGCACTTAAATCTACTGTAATTAAATGCATTTATATGCTAAAAATTACGAAATATGCATAATTAGCCAATAAAAACACAAAAATATACACAAAAAAATACATGCGCATAAAACATGAATATTTTATTTTTAATACCTGTACCTAGTTATTTTTTATAAATGTACTGAAATATGCATTTTTATTTTTAAAATCCCAAAATATGCTTTTAAAAATAGTATCATTTGATTCACTAGAACATAAATTAAATTTGTATCCAGGTGAGCACTAAATTGGATAAATAGAAAAAAATACGCAATTTCATAAACATTCGAGCTCTAGTAACAACTAATAAAGTAATAATAGTTAACTAATTAATATATTATAGTAAAATTAAAATAATATAAATATTTAATATATAATATATAATATATAATATATGGTACCCGCCGTTTTTTCCGAATTGAAATTCCCGAATGGTATTTTGCCAGAAAATCCAAAAACCCGAAATCTTTTTTCCCGAACGCGTTTTTCCCGACGGTTATTGTTCCCGAAATAAAAAATTTCAAAATCTAATTAATAGCATATTGTCGCGGCCGCGGGCGACGTGTGTGTCGATAAAGATAATATTTATGAAAAAGTACAGGTATCTAGCCTTTATCGC